CCTTCCATGGATGTCGCCATGTTTGGAGTGATGACCCGACGATAACGACTCGATCTCAGAGATCGGGTCATAGCACGTAACTCGGGTCAGGTTCCTGTGTCATCACCCGATGCATTCAGTGTTTCGTGCCGTGACTCGCGTTATAGCTCGGGTCGCAACTGAATGCGCCCACTGTCGACCTATCTTACGGCAGATCTATGGCATGAAGTCAAGCGAACTACGAGGGAACGTTCAAAGGCAAACACAGACTGATGGAGACGAAGCTCGACCACTTTGTGCATGGTAGAGGGATCGGCGGGTCACGGTATGGCATGCTTCCGTCTTCAGTATGGCAGCTCCAATGACTCGCGGTACCTGCTCCGTTACTGCCGATGCCCACCACAGGCCCGATTTCAACTCTATGAATCACCTCGCACACGAATCGCCGCCATTCTGCTAAGACCTATTCCCAACCGCCATTTACTGCCATTAGCAGAAACCGAAGTATCGGATCCATATGCACGATCGAAGGAAGTCTTGGAACGACTCAATTGGTATTGGTTCCTCTGAGGACCCATTGCGCCTACCGTGTCGGGGCTTTTTGCTGTGCGGAAGTATTTAGAAGAAAGTTGGGTCGAAAACTCAGGAAAATCCTATAGAAGAAGAATGGTGACGACTTCATGATACCAGCTAGTATCTTGAATGCTGAAACTTGCTGTAGGTAACGGCCCGTTAAGGATACATGGAATCGGATGGGAATCCTTGCACTTCTAAAGTACCGTTAACTTAAGGAAGTCATTCGGGCCTAAGTCTTCCGATTGGAACACGCCTGCCTATACTGTTCCTATGGGTGCGCCATCTCCAGTTCTTTTTCTCAGCTCCTCTCGAATGCGACGTCATCCATGCCTGGCCAATCAGACGTGTGCGGTGCTGTGCCCCTGTACTATTTCGATTTTAGGGACCGGAACTGGTCATTCCCTTTCACGGGGGATATTGGACCTAAATTCGTTTTCCCCCAAAGCAAGGCGCAAATTGCCCGGATCCTCTCCACCTCGGAGAATCCCCCGGGACTAAAAATTGCTATTCTTCGACGCCGAGCCACAATTGCAGTTCCGTGGAGGACTTCGGGGTGTCCGAGTCGGAGAAGAAAATCATCGTGGACGCTCACAACGGCCTGAGGATTCTCGTTGCCTCCGGAAACGAGACGCTGGGCAAGCCTGGACCTCAACCCCCTGCCTCCAACATGCGACGAATGGTATCGTTAGTTTACGACATTTACTTTTACCACTGACTTCACCTGTTATTATCAAGTTTCCTGTTTTCGAATCGAGTCTCTAAAGCTTCGTAATCCATCCCATCCAGCATCGTGCCTATGTATCTGCCAATGAGAGAGGCAAATATTTTCACGCATACATTTTCTCATTCGTTGTGTGGTGCCAAGGTACCCATTAGGGAAGCACATCGCAAGAAACCTCGAGCATAAAAACCCCGATTCACCTCAGAACTTCCCGCTTTGATGCCAGGTGTGGGACGACGGGCTGGCTGCCACGGCGCAGGGACTGGTCAACACCTGCTTCTTCGACCACGACGAGCCCGACTGCCGCACCTTCAACTGTCTGTCTCCTCTCTCGAAACACGTCCGTTTCTCTCTCTCCATGAAATGAAAGGATTCGTTGGTGTGAATGCCAGCCTCGTTCCGGTCGGCGGGTCAAAACATGTTCTGGAGTTGGGGGTCCCAAGGGTCGAAGACGGATTGGAATGATGCCATTCAAGCGTGGTACGACGAAGTCGACATTTTCGATTTCCGTTCCATTTTCCCTTTCAAGTACGTCCCTCACGATTCAATTCTTTCGACTTCGATTGGAAAGTAACACCGGAAAACCACTCAGAGAATATGGGTTTCGTTGTCATGAACTCAACATGAATTCATACATTAGATCGGAAATACCTGTAGTTGCATGGAATTATGGAACCGTAGTAATAATGGGTTCAAATCGAATTATGTTCTCCATGTGTTATCGTTGCTAATTTGGCTAGGACATACCCCCTATATGTATTATGCATAAGATGGCGGCTATTCGCTTCCCTTCACATCAACAGCATAATAAAAGAGCATATGGAGTTACGTGAAAATTGTTCGCACTTGGTTAAAATGCTATCTGCATTCCATGCACTGGGATTCATCTCGAGGCCTCGAAGTACATTTTGATTCTGTTTGAAAAGTAAAAGCAACATTGGTTTACATTGCTGCCTCTGATTCTTTCCTGGGGGGGGGGGGGGGGAGAANGGGGGGGGGGGGGGGGGGGGGGGGGGGGGGGGGGGGGGGGGGGGGGGGGGGGGGGAAGTAAGAGTCACTAGCTCATTTTCATACTGAGTACCGTAACAATGCGTCGCCCTCGCAATAGGAACCCTGGAGGCAGTAAATAGGAGCGGTAAATAGGTCAAATCCACATCAGAGAAGTCTCATCTGTCCCATATCGAGCGATGCGCACTTTAAGGATTATCATAGCTTCCTAAAGTTTGGTAGCGATTGGAATAGGTTATCTTGGATGGATTTTCTCAGGGCAATGGAAGCATAACTGAGAACGTGGTGATGTTACAGATTTACGAAGGACACGGGACATTATACGCAGATGGTGTGGGCAAACACGTACGCCGTGGGATGCGGTTACGTTGCCTACAATAGAAGCAAACTGTACGCTTGCAACTACGGCCCGGCTGGGAACATCCTAGAGATGAACATGTACGGCTTTGGGACCCCCTGTTCCTGTTGCCAGTCGTCCTGCTCTGACGGTGTCCTCTGTGACTAAGCTGCTTCGTCGCGGGTTTTTCCTTTCGCGTACCATGCATGGGGATAGAAAGAATGCATTTCATTCATTCATAATCGAGCACGATGTCCCATCTTCGTCGACAACCTCCACGTCTCTGAGATGGTTGGATTATCATCCCTGTAAAATAAAATGCTTCCGAAAATTACAAGCCCAAGGGAGGCAGCGAAGTTGCCTTCTAATATGCAAGAAAAGCAATTATATCATGAGAGCGGAAACGATATTTGGGTCAGTCCATTCCAAGTGGTTCTAGGATTTTGCCGAAAATTTTCCTAAATATTCAAATATTACTTTCGCTACAGAAGTGCATCATCTCTTTCCCGAGAAAACATGAATGGAACAGATTATTACATTGAAAAATGAAAAAATTAGTCATGATTATGATATATTATTCACACCATTCTCATGATACCCAAACATGTGATAAAAGTGAAAATCTGGATAGGCTAAATTGTATTACTGGAACAGATGCCAGCATTGGTTTTCCAGGAAAACTGATGATTTCAAATCAGCTCAGAGTAGATGTGTCGCTAGCCGAGTGGGTTTTTTTTTTTGCCACGTTGGGAGCGTTGCATTTTGTGGCGTTTGACCGAGTTTCGGGAGATTTCGAATGATTCGAAGTCGTTGAATATCAGCACATGGCCCTCGTGGATTTATTTAATAAGCTTTACATAGCAATTCCCGTTTGGAGAACCCGCGAGGATTGGACATTTTGAACAAAAGAAAATCGAAAGATACAAGAGTGGAAACATGAACACGGCCATGGTAGAGGCTGGAGGCAGGTGGGCCACGCAAGTCAAGAAACTGTGTCTAGGACGGGGTTACAATTAAGACTGCTGCTCTGCCTCTAAAGGCATCCAGAAAAAAACCTTTCTATCTCTCCCCTTAATCAGTGACCGGGGCCTACTACCCGAATAAGGGCATCCTTTCTTCCTCGTCACTGGCTAGGAGAAGGTTGTACGAAAATTTACTGCTGCTCGGGAAGAAGCATGACCAATCCACCTCGCAGATAAGACATGGCATGGAAAGCAAGCATACATACAATTTCTCCACATAGATGTCAATTGTTAAAATTTGAATCACAAGTAACACAGTATGTTGATAAGACGTTTCCGAAGTGTTGCCTATGTTACTCTGTTGGAAGCTGAACATTGATAAAACATTGCTGCAATTTTTTCACATGGAATGTTGCTGCGACATTTCTACGAATGCGATTGCAACATTTGCTATCAACATTGAGAGAATGTTGACATCGACAACGTAGCGACGACATGATTCATGGGGTCAAGATTAAAAAGTTATTATTCCCAAAAAGAACCCTTTCCAAGAACTCGTCGATTCCATCCTACAGGACGATAAAAACAATGGTAGAGAGTCTGTGATCTCAATCCTTTACTTCCTCATCCTGAGAACTAGATGAGAAAAAGGACTGATTTCCTGGACAATCCCTAGAACATTGCAGTCAGACCTTTTCCTGTAATGTGCCATATTTAGCACATCCAGGAGATCACCTCCACAAATATACTTTGTCTCCTGCCTGTACATGATACAGATACTTCATTATGCATGGGTAGGAGTTATACCAGTACAGTCTTCGTCCTGTTCATGGGAATGTCTTGGTAGAGAGGTAATGTATATGGTACGAAATGATGAAATGAATAATTCAATATTGGTCGAATATCGGTCCAATTCAGGACCAGTGAAGCATATGCATACCCGCAATGCCAAAATAGGCTCTTATTATGTGCCCGTGAAGCAACGTTGCAGCAACATAAATCCTGAAACGCTTCTGCAACGTACATGCATTGAATAAATAACAAATTGCGACATAAATGCAATGTTTCTTCGCAACATTTGAAAGACGTGGACGTTTTGGACATATCACATGAATGCAACATTGTTCATCAATATTTCTCAAACGTTGCTGGAATATGTTGTGTAACTTGGGATGATATCTATAAAATAAAACTCAAAGATATGCACAGATTTTCGTTTCAAAATACATTTTCAGAACGTGTCACATCCGACACCGTCAAAAAATAGGCCTACTTTCCGTGTCAAGAGCTGTAATCTGGGGGTGACTTACAATAATTCCAGACCTTCATTTAATCTATAGAATGATCATGAAACTAAATTATTAGAGTCCGCTGGATAAAAGATATGTGAACATTAGACCAAGTGACTTCAACCTGAGGGTTCATGAAATTTCACGTCTGACACTTTTTTCAACATAGGTACACATCTAACAAAGAAGAGAGTGCAATACTTTGAATTTTGGAATTTTCAGTCACTACCCAAAAGCAACTGTTGCAACCTTTATATGATGATCCGTCATCCAAAATATAGTTAAATACAATTTGCATACTGAACATATTACTCCGGATGTTACGTCCGACACCGTAGACACACCCATTTCATATTTTTCTGAAATTGCCGATTCTTCACCTTTAAAATCTCCAAGAGCATGTAAATCTGGATTATCCTCAACGGTCAAAACAAATTTCATACATTTCCTCAGAAACCCCACTTCATGTTATTAACTGAGCTGTTTCCGTCTTCCTCTTGAAAAATAACTATATCAAGGTGAATCTCAGGCCTTTCTTCAATGATGCTAAACTGTAGCCCTCGTAGGATTCATTTTGGCGAGTAATGAAGAATACAGGGAGAGCAAGCAAGGATCAGTGATAGATGAGGACTGGACACTCTTCTGGGAATCGCGTATCAGCAGTCATCCACCCTGTGCAGGCAGCGAACCTGGTGGTCGCTGAGGAAAACTGTTATTATTCCGATGAAAACTGTTATTATTCCGACGGAAACTCGGGAGGAAATTGCAATGTTCTATCGATTGTCCACGAAATCAGTCCTTTTTCTCATCTAGTTCTCAGGATGAGGAAGTAAAGGATTGAGATCACAGACTCGTCTGTAAATTTAAAATTTACATTTTAGCCCATAGTTATGCCTAACACTCTGCAAAAGGTGTGGTAAGAGCTCCAACATCGCTTAGACATCTACAGAATCACAAATGGTGCCCAGGTGGAATTGCAATAGCAGGTTGAAAAATGCTTGAGTTGCACTTCATTTTACTGTTATAATCATTTCATTTGAGGCCTAATTTAGGGAGACATTAATTTTTTAAATGTTTACATTCCTTTTGGGACACAATGAATATTTTCAGCATACGCAGTTCGACTCCGTGGACATTGGAATATAAATAAATCAATTAGATTGCTTTCATCTAGGTTTAAGCAATAGGACAACACTAAAATCTCGAGCACGAATTAAACGAAAGAGCAAAAACTATGCGGAGTGAAAGTGCCATGAGGTAGAAGGGAATCACTTTTTGAAAAAATTTCGAAAATATCCTAGTCTCCATTGTAAACAATTTCGGTCTAAGACCACGTTAACCCGCATACCTCCTAATGGACGGGAAAATTATCCTACATATCGTCCGAAATCCGGCTTTGGTTTCATCAGCAGAATTTCCCCCTTCTATTTCACAAAATATTACGGCTAAGAGACCTACATTCGAATTACGAAGTTTAGGCAAACGAACCTTTTCCTCATTCGTCTCGGAAAAGCCTGCTTCGAATACATTCGGAAAAACCTTCCTGATCTTTCGGACCTATCCGCATCGACATCTTAGGGAAGCCTCCCGACACCTTCACTTTACATTCTGAATGGTACATGACTTCCAGTAGCCCCCGATGTACCCTTATTTATGATATCGTGATGCTTCGGAATGCGCAGTTTTCATTTTCGAGTTTATATGTATATCCCTATCGGATAAGAGCATCGCAGCTTTTTCTTCCCGTCGGGAGTGGAAATGCTCTGAAACGTTGGACGCCCTGCTGAACCGACGGCATCGTACATTTCTTGTTTGCCGGCGACCCGCACTTCTTGTGCTAATCAAAGTATAACAGATGCCGAACATGGTCGTTCTCCTCTAACACTCTCTTTGAGAGAGAGGTGAGCATGAGTCGCAATCTTTTCCGAAAGTGATTAAAAGGAGGTACTGATTAATCGTGCTAGTGACTAGAACTTACAGCTTCTCCGTGATTGGGATGCGCCAAATACTCACGAATTAATTACAGGAGGTTGCATAATGATAATGAAATCCTATTTATCCTGCAGTATTTAAAAAAAAAGGAGACGTTTTTGAGCAATGAAGGCAAGTAAGGGAAACCCAAATGAGACGAAATATTACTTCAGGGAATGGAAACCCGGTTCCGAATATGGAATGGATATTTCCGGAAAATAAGAGGAAAGCTCCATTACTAGCTTCAGTCGGAGGGATCCATTCCGAGGTTTTTTCAGCATGTTTATTTGAAAAAAAATATATAAGAGACATTGTTTCCGCTATGAATCGGAATCCGTATCTCCAAGCAATGAACGGAAACACTGTCTCCGATGCCTTGGTCGGAATTATTTTGTACCGTGTACCGGATCTGCGCATAATGCAGTAAAACGGACGGAGAGAATCGGACGGGGCACTCGCATCTGCACGTTTTTTCTTCTTCGCAGACACATTGCATATCACAACAGTTGGCCTGATGGGGACGATACAGTTGGCAAGGCAGCACCTGGCATCCATCCAAGCATTCGCAGCCATTCGCAGTTCGTTACCCTTGCGTTCACGGTCGGTCTAACTATCCGGCTCCACGGGGGATGGAGTCGGTGGTGTTAATTAAATCCAATTCTCATTGAACAGAAGATGGAGTCGCAAACTTGAATCCCAAATCCCTCGTTTTCATCCGCCTGTCCTCAATCACCAACTTTTACGCGATTCTGCAATTTCCCTCTGTCCTCGCCTCCACTGATTGATCCGGGCAGTTGTCAACGCGGAGTGTATATTGTCCTTGTGAGAATTTTGTTATGCTCTTCATTAATCTTTTTTTTGGGTAGGTGAACGGCCCTGAGAAACGCTAATAGGGACCGCAGTAGTATTCTACGGCGAAAACGTTTTATAAAAACTTTGTTGGCAG